TGACTGACAGCTGACTGACTGACTGACTGACAGCTGACTGACTGACTTACAGCTGACTGACTGACAGCTGACTGACTGACAGCCGGTGGCCGCTAAACTACAGCCTGCGGCCGCACACTTGGAACCTGCCAAATCACAGCCGCTGTCTCCTGAATTAACGAGCTGGCAGCTCATTAATAACAACCGCGGCCGCTCGGCTACAACCGGTGGCCGTTCAATTCCAGCCGGTCACCAATCAGCCACAACCAGTGGCTGCTGAGTGGCAACTGGTGGCCACCAAATCACCACCGGTGGTCGCTGGATGCCAACTGGCGGCTGCTCAGCAACGGCCGGTGGCCCCTAAGTCACAACTGGTGGCCAACAGCTTGCAGCCAGGGTGAGTTTCAACCGCTGGCTGCTGAGTTACAGCCGGCGGCCGCCACATCACAACCAGTGGCTCCTGAACGCCACCCTGCAGCGCTGTCACCCCACCGGCTGCAGCTGCAGCCCCACAGCCGGGCGCCGTGGGGTCGTTTGGGGGCAGTTGTGAGGGTGTCGCGGCGGTTGCTGCTGTTCGCCGTGGGGCCGCCATGTTGTCCCCATGCTGTGGCCGTGGTTGTGACGCCAATGCCGTGTCCCTACAGGTGGCCGTGCCGGCTGTGACCCCCCGCCGAAGCGCCCGGCAACAACTGCCCCGCTCGGTCCATGAGGGCCCCGCTCACAGGTAAGGGACGCCCCCCACCCCTACCATCACACCGGGACGCCCTGCCCCACCTCCAGGGCAGAAACCCCCCCTGCCTCTGCCTGTCTGTGGGGCCACCTGCCCCATCTCTGCCCCACTGGCCCGTGACATCTGGGTGACGCCATGGTGGTACGGCGTAGGCTGTGGGGCCGGGGGACCCAGATGTGTGCTTGTCCCCTAAGCGATGGCCCCATGCTGGTGTCCCCACACGTCCCCAGGGAAATATCCCCATGTAGATGTCCTCTTATTCCCCATATGTCCCCACACGTCCCCCTGGAAATGTCCCCTTATTTCCCCCATATGTCCCCACATGTCCCCATGGCGATGTCCCCTTATTTCCCCCATATGTCCCCATACATCCCCATGGAAACGTCCCCTTATTCCCCATGTGTCCCCACACGTCCCCATGGTGATGTCCCCTCATTTCCCCATGTCCCCATGTTGGTGTCCCCATATATCGTGATGTCCCCTTATTTCCCCCCATGTCCCCTTGTTTCCCCCATATGTCCCCACACGTCCCCCTGGAAATGTCCCCTTATTCCCCCATGTGTCCCCATACATCCCTGTGGTGATGTCCCCTTATTTTCCCACATGTCCCCATGGTGATGTCCCCATGTATCCTGATGGTGATGTCCCCTTATTCCCCCATGTGTCCCCACATGTCCCCATGGTGATGTCCCCTTATTTCCCCACACGTCCCATGGTGATGTCCCCTTATTTCCCCATGTCCCCATGTTGGTGTCCCCGTATATTGTCATGGTGTCCCCGTATATTGTCATGGCAATGTCCCCTTATTTCCCCCCATGTCCCCTTATTCCCCTATGTGTTCCTATACATCCCCATGGTAATGTCCCCTTATTTCCCCATGTCCCCATGTTGGTGTCCCCATATATCGTGATGGCAATGTCCCCTTATTTCCCCACATGCCCCCACCTGTCGATGTCCCCACACGTGTCCCCATGGCAATGTCCCCATATGCCCCCCCCGTCCCCCCGGCGCTGTCCCCACACATGTCCCCTCCCCAGCAGGTGCGGCGCGCGGGGATGGCAGCGGTGGAGGTGTCGGACGCGGGGCACAGCCGGGCGCTGCTGCTGGAGCTGAACGAGCAGCGCCTGCGGGGACAGTTCTGCGACGTCACCCTCATCGCGGGGGACACCAAGTTCCGCGCCCACCAGAACGTGCTGGCCGCCTGTAGCCCCTACTTCCGGGAGGCCCTGGGAGCGGCCGCCTGCACCCCTGCCGCGGTGTTGGAGCTGCCGGGGGTGCAGGCAGCGGTGCTGGCCGACGTCCTCAACTTCATCTACAACGCGCGCCTGGCCGTCCCCTCACCGGCCGTCGCCCGCGAGCTGGGGGCCGTAGGCCGGCGCTTGGGCATCGCCACCCTCCAGGGCTTGGAGACGCACCACGACACCGCCTGGAGTCCTCCGACTGCCGGTGACGGCTCTGCCACCAACACCGAGGCGCTGGCGGCACCGGTTGACCTGACGACGTGCGGCGGTCGTCCCGGCGAGGTGACGGAGACGGCGCCATCAGAGGCGCCACCGCCGGCGGCTGTCATCACATCGCCAGGTGTAGCCTCGCTGGGTGTCACAGCGCCGGGTGTTGCACCACCAAATGGAG